GATCGTTCTGACAAAATATAAGATGTTCCAAGACTTGTGTCGATAGTTTATGTTGGAGCAACTCAGCCTGGGCATGTATTAAGATAGGGGATAGACTATCCTGTCTCCACCCTTTGTATCAGGATAGTGAATAGGTTTCCCCATGTTTTAAGATAGGTTATAGGTACCAGGGTTTTAGATAGTAAGTTTAAGATGGCTAGTTTCATAAAACTTTTGGCCCCTTTTTTATCTATACATCAATGTTTAGGATTCTAAACACAAAGACCTTGTGTATTATGTTTTCACGGTGTATTAGGATAGGCTATAGGTTTAAGAGTTTGAGATGCTAAGATGGTAAAATTCAAAAAATTTCAATAAAAAAGACGTCCGATTTTGTTATGTACTAAGATAGATTTTCTATGTAATCAGATAGGTATTAGAATTTCTATCTTTTAATATAAGGTATAAATTTTAAAATTTTATAATGTTTTAGGATCATGCTAAGAGAATGGTAAGAAAAACGTGCAAGAAGCTCAAATTTTTGAAAAATTTTTATTTTTCTGGAAACAGTTTTTGCGCGTTTTATCTAATTCTTGAAAACCATTGATGTTTAACGTGTAGAATGAAGCTATACTAGTGTGTTTTTTGATATATGGTGTGTCAATGGAATTTTTCTGCGTAAAAATTGATTTTTTTTCTCTAAAACCCTTAAAACTTGATAAGGTTCTAACTAATTTGATTTTTGTCTTGATTTATATGATAGATGAAATTATGGTCGTACCTTTCTGAAATGCAGCTGAAATTTGCTAATACCCAAAAGTTGTCAACATAGATTTAATTTTAAAAAATTACGTACAAACCATTCAAACTAGACTCATTCAAGTTGGTATTTGCCCAAATTTTATCTTTCTAACAAATTAATTAATAATTGACTAACTTTTGATCCACTTACTACTCGATCGGAAACATCAAATCCGGAAATTAGTTTTAGCTGTATTTTTCGGAATTTTTTTGAAAGTTTTCGTGATTTGATTCAAATTTGTATTTTTGTCAAAGGTTGACTCAAAATTAATGGAAAAAGTCAAATCTAAATCTCATCCAGCTAAAAATATTTTAATCAAATCAGTAAATTTCCAAGAATTGTCCAGTTTTTTGCTAAATTACTATAACTTTAATTTTCATCAAAATTGTCTTCCTGCTGTAAATAGAGAAAAGTTTGGAAAAAGTTTCAAAACAAGTTAATGTAAGTAAACAAAGTCAGAAGCATCACCATTAAAATTTGTACTAAGAATCATATAAACAAAACAAAAACACAGATTTAAGTTTGAAGATTGCATAGGGGAGCCTGTCATTAAGTTCATGACTTGATTGAATTTCTGGTTTAACTGATGGTAAAAAATGCTGTATTCAAAGAAAGGGAAAACGAGAGAATCTGCAAAGTATAACAGATTTTTTTGCTGCATTTTACAGTCCATTTTATACCCAAACTAAAATTTTCATTTTGATGTCAAAGCGTTTGAGAACTGAACATCGAGTGAAACTGAGCCGTTAGTATGTTCTGGGGCAGGAAATCATGAGTAGCCTGCTGTGTGCTCGTGAGATCGAAACACGTAACAAAATGCTGCTCGAAGTGATCCAGAGTGATTCCACGCCCACAGTGCAACAAACCAAGAGCTAAAAATTACTCAAAAAATGCTATTATTAAGCTAATTTCAAATGATTTCATGGACGCGAAAAAGGAATTTTGCGCTGCCCCACTACTGAAAAAAGGGATGTTTTTTTTGCTGTGCAGTCTGAAAATACCTCCATAAGAAATGAAAAACTGACCACAGAGTTCGACTCCCCAATCTTCTGATTCGAAGTGAGACGACATATCCATTAGACCATGCAACCGCTGGAAGTTTACCCGAATGTGAATGTTTAAAATGCTCTGGATGCCAGAGTTTTACTGCTTAGATAAGCAAAGTTTTGAGAAAAATTAATTTGCCCAGAAATTCCTTGCTGTCAATTCGTCAGACCATGTTGCCAGTAGAAAATTTCGGAATGTGTAGATTCAAATTACTCTCGATTCCAGTGTTTTATTGCAGTCAATTAAGATGTTTTTATCTGCTGTACATAGTTTGAAAGTACGTGATCAAGAAAATAAAATTCGAGCACAGCGGGATTTCGACCTTGAGTGCCTTCTTTTCTTTAGCTTAAAAATCACAGATACTACAATTACACATCATAATGGATTGAAAATTTTATGATTTTGAATTTTGCAGAGGTCCAACGACAGAATAATTGCGAAAACTTTTTGGTTCCAAGAAAAGTTCGTGGGAATATTTAGGAAAAATGCATAGGGGTGTATAAGTCTCTATTGGACTATTTTCTGTTTTTTTTTTAAATTATTCAGCTTATTTTCAGCTAGAGAAACCCGTTTTGTAGTTTAGAAAGGGTTATTTTGCAATAAGTTGCGAAAAGCACATTTCTCAAAATTTGTTTTGCAAAAATTGTGTAATTAATGAAATTTCCTAGCAGTTGTAAAAATTTGGTTTTCTTTACTCAAACCAAACCACGACGGAAAAAATACTTAATAAGAAAAAAAACAAAGCAATCTAGAATTGGTGTTGGAGTGGTCCTATTTGAAATTATTCTGTGCCTTGTTTTTGGTTTATCAGCACATTTATTTCTTTTATGGGTGTTTTACCTGAACTAAACGTCTTTTTGCGCACCGAATAATGTCGGGTTTTTGATTAAAACATTAGATTTCGCCCACAACCAGCTTGAACATTCCTGAGTAAATACAGAATAAAAATCACCAGCTTGTGCAGTTGTAGTTTGAGCAGTTCCTGAGCATAAACAGAATAAACGCTGAAGTTTTTAGGAGCGCTAAACTGAAATAGACTTGCGATAACAAAATGGACCAGAAGTCAACCTATATGCCAGGTTCCAAAAACTTTTTTTTGCTAAATCTTAAGAATCTGATTGTAACGATTTCTAGGTTATGGGTGGAAAAAACTACCCAGAAAAAGAAAAAAAATTTAAAAAAGGAAAAAAACATTACGAGAACAGTGTTAAGAGAAGGGTAAAAAAGAGTTTTAAGCATTTTAAAAAGCAAAAAATTTTTAGTTATAGAATGATCCTTTGGATTTTAGATATAAGACATGTTACTTTTCTCCGCTGTAGAAAATACCTGAAAACTGACCAGGGTGATCTTATGGTGCTCTTCCACAAAATTCAGACTTTTTAAACTTTGTTTAAGAAACTAGATATCGCTTGGAAACAATTTTTATGATTAGGAACTTTCAGTCAAAAAAATTAGCTGGAGCTGCAGATCGCTATTTTTAAATAAAACAAATTCCTTGGAATTATAATATTTTAGCGCGTTCATTGCTGCATCAGCCCTTGAAGTGTTAGACTGAACAAAGAAAATATACAGAAAACATTTGTTGCAGTAAATTCAGTAATAAACTTTAGTCTGACAAATGACATTGAGTATCCAAGTAAGATAGCATATAGAGTCGATTATTAGTATAGAAGAATCTTGAGGCAACCCAATTTTTTTAATCGAGTATTCTAGGAAAGAGGATCTCAGGTCTATAGCATACGTTGAAAAAAAAAAGGTTTTAAGAATGTAGAACTGAAGACTCAGGTACGTGTTTGGAGCTTCACGAGGTAAATTTTTTAACCCTATTTTTTCATTCGGGCTATTTTTACGGATTCAGTTTGATACAAAAACGAAAGAAAACAAATTGTATTTTTTTGACTTATCCCTTTTTTTAGCTAAATTTTAATTCCGTTTTTGTGTAACGTGTTAGCTAGCTAAATACTTGTTTCACGATGCGATGTATGCAGGAAAAAATAAGTTCTCACTAAGTGTTTGCTCAACAGGACAATTTATATTGTCTTGACAACGTTTAAATGATTTTTTTCATAATTGAAGTTAAAATGCGTGAAAGTTGGAGTGGAAAATATTTGGATTAATTGTGAATAAAACTGTTTCAATTCTGAAAAAAATAGAGATCAATTACAATTTCTGAAAACTTATCTTCTGTGCTTTTAATAACCTGATTTTATGAGACTTCAACAAAAGCAAAAATAGAATTTATCGCTCCGACCATTGGAAATGAGAAAGAATTGACAGTTTTATTTTCTTTAACATAAAACTCACAGATAAATAATTAAACTTCAATTAAATAATTAATGGATTGAAATATTTTTTGTTTTAAATTATTTCAGAAGTCAAACGACAAGTTGAAAAATTTTCCTGTTCGAAAAAACTCGTGTTATAATCAGACTTCACTATAGCGATATACGCTTATTAATAAACAGTCAATTATAAATCTCATTCAGGCTTTTTTCAGTATTTTATACAGCCTACTTTTAGCTAGGGAAACCAGTTTTTGCAGCGTAGTGTTACTCCACAATAAGTTGCAAAAACCACTTTTTTTTATAATTTATTTCGCAAAAAATTGTACTTGATCAAAATTTTAGTAGTTCAGCGAAATTTTGATTTTTTCTCACTGAAACCACGCCAAAATAGTTACTCAAATTAAGAAAAAAAATACGTAGTTATCCCGAGTTTGTGTAAAAATGGTCGCATTCAATTTTTTTTTGCTGTAGGTTTATCAGCACGTCTTTCCATTATAAGTATTTTACCTGAGAAATCGAAAAAAACTCCAAAAGCCTCCGGCGACGTTTTTGAAGGCTGTAGAAAATTAGGTAAGGTTAAAATAATGCAGGCACACACGGGAGTAGGCGGAGTCGGTTTTGAGAAAAACAAATTTTGAGAAAAGCGAAATATTTTTCCACAGCATCGAAAAATTAATAAGAAATTCTTTTGCTAAACAAGTGGACCAAATAGTAAAGATAGCATTCGATAGAACGGAAACTTAGCCGACGGAAATCAGGACGAAAACCATGATTCCGAAAACAAATTACTTACTACGACGAACTAAAAGACAGTTCAGTTGAACTTTCTACTGCTGCAGTCACTTGAAAGTAACCGCACATTTTCAAGAAAATTTATTTGCGGGAAAAGTCTATTCCTGATAGAAGTACACTTGCTCTTGCAGGTGAAATAAGTAAATTGAAATGATCAAAATTAGAGTAAATAAACAAGCACTCAAAGCATTAAATAAACAGTTGGCTTGATGTATGAGAACAGTTACCAGCCACAATAAGTATTTTCCTGTAGAGACACATTTTCATACATCACGCAAATTCAAACACAAGCCCAAAACAAAGTCTGACAAAATTCAAAGTCTGGAAATTTAAGTTTTTACTTCTTTTTAGCTTCTCTGCTAGTCCAAAGAACCGTCTCTTTCAAGTAATCCATTTTGTAATACTTCGCAATATTCAACAGAGTCATCAACTGCTGTCGGAAGCGATCTCTTTTGATCAAGTAGGTAAACTGTCCCGAACATTCGCAAGTTCGCTTCATATTCAGTTGTTTAATATTCTTACATTTTAAACAGGATAAGTCTTGCAACACAAAGGCCAAACTCAATTTCTGAACTTCGCTTACTAAACTCATTTCAATATTATCAACGTCGTAAGGCGTCGAACATTCCGTGCACTTCCACAAACCAAGTTCCTCTCCTTCAAAATCCAGTGTAATATCTCGACATAAATCCACATCTCTGCAATAATTACACTCTTTGCAGATCACTTCTCGTAGAATGTACGACAGGGAAGGATTCTGAAAATCAGCCGAGTCTGAAAACTCGCCTACATTAATAATCCTCAACACCGTTTTCTTCATTTGTTCAACTTGAGACGCAACACTTGTGTCTAAGCTTAAGACATGGCAGACTGATTTTATGAATTCCAGTTCTGGGTTCGTCAGTTTCAGGTAGGAGCCGGGCAAGAGTGGGAACTTGTTCTCGTTGTCTGATTCGTTGAACTCGAATTTCTGTTAAAAATATTTGACTTTACTCAGGAAAACAGAAAATCTCAAATTTATCTCAAATTTCGAAAAAAAATAGAGGGCCTTAAAGCTCTTTAAATTTCACGAACAATTTATGATTGATGCTTTTTTGATAAAACTATCCCAATTTGAGTAAACTGGATCAAGAGGTAAATTTATATTTCGCTGGGGCATCTGATCATTGGAATCCTTTGAGATTTGAAGTTTTTCACATTTTTCGTGACCTTAACATTTTTGCTGTTCGATAGTCGTGTTTGCGTTGCCTTTAGCAAAGAAAATAAACTGAATTTAAATAAACCACGAATAATCAAACTTGAGCGTGAACAAATATAAGACTTTTTCCTGAAAAAAAAAAAACATTTAAAAATATTTAGGACTGATTACCACTACGCTCAATACTCTTAATAATCATGCGTTCCAAAGCACTTCAAGCAAGTGAGAAACTAAAAATTTAAACCAGAAACTATATTTCGGGTGTTTAAATTTTTTTTGTTCGACCATTGAAAATGTGGAGGAATTTTGAATTCGGGCGTGTTTTTTTTCAGGTACCACAAACAATCATCGGACCCGGTTGAGTAATATATCATATTAAAGTTATTTCAGTCGTGATTTGAACATTTAAAAATTTCCAAAAAAATTTTCGAATAAAATAAGTTTTAGACGTTTTTTTTAGCACCATCTTGGGATAAAAAATATTTTAAAATTTAAAAATATTCAGCATATTTTGTTTTAATTAATTTTTTTTACTTTTGCAATTAATCAGTTTTCGAAGAAAACTGACTTCCAATATGCCTATTTCTCTATGAAGATCGGAAATGCCTAAAGTCTAGTCTTTCGCTCAGATCCTTTCATCAAACCGCACACGGAAAACTTTTTTTTCAAGTTTTTTTTTAAAAATATGTTCGGAACATTCTGTGATACTTGCACAGCAACCGGCTATCCTTGTTTATTCTAGTTTTGTCTCATCAATTTGAATCTACTGCATACTTAAGGTACTCTATGCAACCTGGACCACAATCTCGCGATTTTTTGAAAGATTATCAAACATCTCCATTAGCTCTAAAAAACCTTTTTTTTGGCAAAAAACTGAAAAGCATGTTTAACCCCACATTTTATGTCTTAAGAAATAAAACTCTGATGATAACAAAAAACGACAGAGATGATCGTCTAATTTCCACTCACCTGTCGTTTCATCTGGAGAGCGTGAACAACTCCCACTATTTTCTGAGTCATGTCTGAAGAGATGAGGTTGCGACAGAACTCACGAAGTGTGGAGTCGAAACTGGACATGACCTCTTTGCCATCCTCGCCTGGAAAATCGGTGAAACCTAGTGATTCATTAACCCGACAAATTTAAACATAGGCGAAGATTAGCTTCGCAAACACTAACAAGAACGCGACAAAAAGCAGCACTATAAAGTGCAAAAAGAAAAAATAGAAATAAGCCTCGAATTAGCAAAAATTCGGCAACGTCTGAGATTCGAATCTCCAACTTTGAGATTAATAGTCACACACTAACCACTCAGCCACGGAAGCTTAAAAGTAGCAAGAAGATTGAACACTAGCCACAAATAAAGCAGAGAGCAGATGCAATGCAATTTCCAATGCTACAGTGAAATTTCCAAATAAATGAACTTTTAATGGACATAGCCAAATAACAGTTGAAAAAGAGTAATGAGCGCAAGGAAACTGAAACAAAAACTGACTTGTTTTTTTTCAAAAATCTTCACCTTTTGAATTTCGAAGAAAAAAATAGATGGCCTTAAAGCTCTGACTTTGTATAACAATTTCTGATGGACTCTTTTTTGTTAAAAATGACCCAATTTGAGAAAACTGGATCAATAGGTATACCTTTTATTTCACTGGGAAATCTGATAATTATTATCCATTGCCGAAATTAGAAGTAGATCGTGACCACGTTTTTCGTGACCTTTACACTTTTGCAGTTTGATAGCAGAGTTTACCTTCCTTTTAACAACAGAAATGCACTGTACTTAAAAAGAAGTCAAACAGCGAAAAATCAAAATTGAGCGTGTACAAATTTTAAGGCTTTTTCCTGAAAAAAAAATCAGCACGACCTATATAAGAGTACTCACTACGTCCATTACTCTTAAACACTTCATTACTCTTAAACACTAAACGTTAGAATAGAAAAAAAAGAAAGTTCGTACAACTGAACTGCTGCAAATCACCAATGGGTTCAAGAAGGGATCAATTGAAAGGCCTGAAGTAAGTTAGTGAAGGATTTCATAAAGGCACGCCAGTTCCACATGCCCCTATTATTCCAATAAATCCTTCGGACACCTTGGTTGGACACAAACGACATGAAGGTGAATACGATCTTTATTATTATTATTTGAAACTACAAATAAAAATAAACGCTTGGTCCTTCTGTACTATTTGCGATGAAACGGAGTAGGCATGTTTAAATTGAGGTTTATTTAGATCAAGTTGTCGATTTTTTTTCTTTTCAAATTATTTAACTTTTTTTCAAGTTTTGTAAAAATTTTTACTTATCCAACCACTGAAATTGTTTTTACTTTTTAAATCACGTTAACTTTTTACTTTCAAATTACGAAAATTCTTTTTAGTTTTCAAGTTTGTGAACTATTTTTCATTTTCTATTTAAGTCCTTTTTTTTTACTTTTCCAATGACGCAACTAACCACCATCCACAATCACAGTCTCGGTAGCCATAGTTGAGTGGTCCCTTCTCAACTGTTGCATCTTCTTCAACACGAGTACCAAGTAGTTGGCCACCACCACTCCAAACTGGCCCTGCAGGTCATCTGCCTCGTCCAGAGGCAGGTAGTACATCAGATTCCAGTTGCTGTCTATTTCAAGGTCATCCGCACTGTTGTTAAAAGAAAAAAAATAAAAGTTACCAGTATGTAAACCATTGATAGCAATCGCTGAACAAAAAAAAACAAGTGATATCTCAGGCGCTCGCTTTTAATTATATGTCAACCCCCAGAGCAAAAAGACAGCACAAAAAATTCTAGGCCTACTCTCAGTATCAGTTTTAGGGGGTGGTATCGGATTAACCTTCTCAGGAATTTATACCATAACCACCCACTAACATTCTTCATTCTAACACTTCATCTCTGAGAAGATTAAACCGAACCGAAAAAGAAAACAGTTTTTTTATTCATTCATCCTAACTCAGTAAATAAGAAAAGGCAGTGATACAAAATGGACTACTGAAAAAAAACTATCACAACTATACCTGTTTTCTTGAGTTTCAGTTTTCTGGTCTCCGTTATTCGGCTCTTCGATTACTTCTATTTCATCATCTTTGTCACCCCCCATAACTGCACCCTCTTCAATTCTAGATTCGGTATCTTCATCTTCGTCCAAGTCACCAATAGCTCTCACATTTACACTATCATCATTATTGCTTCTTCTCCCACCTTGAGTTTCTGTAGTTTTTTCATTGCTTACCCCTCCCCCACCTTTTCCTTTAAATTCTTTTGTTTGATTTTCTTTGTCTTCGCTGCTATTTTTCTCTAATTCATGACTGTTTTCATTGCAGATGACCCCTCCGAAGTTGCACGAGTCCATGAACATCAGAATGTTCCAGAACTTGTTGGGTTTGAAGTCCAGAATGTGGAATAGATCACGTGATCGGATGTTGTCTGAGATGAATTGAATGTAAGACTGGGCGTCTGTCGTTGTGTGTTTGGTCGTGTGGATTATGAGTTTGTTAAATGAGGCGTAGATTATGTCTGCTCCCAGTCTGAACAAAAACAAACAGTTATAGAAAGATATGAAAGAATTTGATTTCAAGTCGAAGAATTGCCAAGCATTCTCTCAATGAACTCCTCACAATCAGGTAAGTGCTGTTTTTTTTCAAATATTCAATTTATGCGATGTTTTCTAACAATCAAGAAGTTTCGTCAAGTTAACTAACCCAGCCTCAAAGGCAATAATTAAAAAACTTCAGACACACTGATCTTATTTTGGGAGGTATACGCATGGAAAAAATACTATAAAACGATATCGAGCAGAAAAATATACCTCTGGACAATAGACACCTCAAATGTTAGGAGCCTTAAATGGGCGATGAATTATACTTTTTGCTCAGTGAGCGAACAAAATTTATAGAAATGATTTTGCTTTGCCAGAGATTTTCTTCAATCACGTAAAAAAGCGGTAATTTTAAAAAGATTAAAACCAAAACCTGGCAGTAACTAATTGCAATATGAGTGCACTCTAACCTCTTGAACTCTGCCACCAACTGAATGAGTACTTTCTGCATCATCACTCCAACTATCTTGGTCAGGGCAGGATCATGTAAGTACGAGGCAGAGGTAGTGAGCCATCTGAACAAGTGCACTAGCTGCAGATCTGCCCACTGGTTCCTGAAACATAAAATTATGTAACCGAATTACGAACACTAAATTATGTAACCGATTTATAAGAGACAAAATTATTAAAACAAAATTATGTAACAACCATCAAAACAGACTGGTAAAAAAAATCAGGTTTCAATTAGATAAAAAAACTCTTGATCTAATGACTCTTGATCAAGACGCTGAGATCTAAAGTTTAAGGCTACGACTTGGAAATGTTAATTGGTGACCGATTAATGGCAATTATTTTGATAAGGTAAGAGTAACCAATTCATTGAAACTAGTGTGTCACACCCACGATGCTTCAACCCACGATGATTGTTGAACACGGAGATTGCTTCCTTAAATACGTAGAGGAAAAAAAACGAAATATAATGCAATGATAGTAAATAGGCTCGGGGCATCAACAGCTTTTCAATTCTATAAGTTGAACTACTTTTAAGAAAAAATTAACTTTTAAGTTCTTTCTCACGATACTGGTCAAACCTACAAAACTACTTGGTTTCAGTCTTTCGTATTTTTTTTTAAAATAAATAGGCCGGCAGCATGCAACTGCATTTGCCATATTCAGAAAATAATTCTGAAATGAAATTTTTTGCGTAATCAATAATTCTTGAATGAAACTGTTGTTTAGCTCAATTATGAATTTTCATTAGCCCGCACATATACTATTTACTGGCATCAATCTTTTATTCAAGCGTCATAAATATCAATCAAACTTTTTTTTAGAAAAAGCTCTCTAAGTTTAATGAAAAACTTATGGAAAAATCAAAAAAATTTGCATGTTTCATAGCATCAAAAAAAAATAAATACGCCATATTTTTCAACATTTCAGAAAACTCATCCAAATTTTCGTATCTCGCAATCTTGAAGGATTTCAGTAGTCTTAGTTAGAGGCTAGATTTCTGAACGCTGAATTGTACAAATTGATTGAACGAACTTCCATTTCGATTTATTTTTTTTTCTGTGAATAAATCACAAAAAACGTGATCTCGGAAACAAACTAAAATAAACATTTTTAGCAGTCAAAACAAGAGGCAAGATATGCAAATCTTAGGAGTACCCTGATAGCGCCCCACCAAAGGAATAAAAACTTCCAATATTAAGAAATAAATATTGAAACTAAAATTTTTTGAAATCTCTTTTGCGGAAAAAAGTAAATAACTGCAGGGATAAGGCATTCGCACTCCAAGTGATGTATTGTGAAAACCGTTAATGACCTCGCAATTTGCATTCAATTTTTAAGCAAATAGAAAGACGTATTTCAGCATTCATAAGGAAACATTCGAACGTTGGCTTCAGTTATCATTTCGAACGTTGAAATTTTAACATGTCAACGTAAGTACATCCGAAACTAGTGTCAAGTGGATGGCTCATTTAAAATTTTTTTTTAGGTGGATGGGTTTTTATTTAACAATTGATTTGTTCCAGGACGCCGTATCTCAGTAATCTGCAGTATTCAGAGATGTACGACCGAGTCCTATACGAATTTTTAAAAACAAATTAACATACTACCCATGAAATAAACCCAATGTGAAATAACTGGATAGTTAGACAAACTTCTTATTCCGCGGAAATTTCTGAAACAAAATAATATATTTTTTCGGGCCATTTGCCGAGAGCCAATTGCATAACTTTAAAAAAAAAAACAAAATTTGAATTCAAACCACAAAAAAGAAATTTGAGTTTGAACAACTTTCAGGACTTTTTGTGGACAAAAAATCAAAACTATCAAGTTCCTCGACACTTGACAACAATGATCATCATGATCATATTTATTGGCATCATCAGGAGCCATAACTTCTATAATAAATGGAAGATCGCTTCTACCACTGCCGAGGCAGTGATTACCACACAAGCGAAGCAGATCTTCGCTTACTCTTGAAAACAAGATAGCCTTAAAATTCTTCGAATTTCTAAAACAATTTATGATGGACCACTTTTTTGATAAAAAAACCCCAATTTGAGAAAAATGGAACAATAGGTGAATTTTTTATTCCACTGGGGAACCTGGAATTTAAAATCCATTTCGAAAAATAGAATAAATCATCACGACCTATTTAATGGTCTGCAATTCGTTTATCGACTGCATATAAAAGAAAATATACAGAGCCGCGGTTAAAAACATAAATTACAGAAAGAAATCAACAACATTTGCAATACAAGGATAAATGCTTGCAACAAAGAAAAGCCGTGATATGGCAACTAAGCCGACACAATATGAGCAGACAAACCAAAAGGCCGACAATGCAATTTTTCCCAAAAAATTCAGCTCCATATACTTCAAAAAAAAATGTGGCCGGAACTTGAACCCCAGGGTGCAAAGGCAACTGCATTACCCCCCGATCAAGTGGGAAATAGGTTGGGGTTACTTAGGGTTCAACTGGTATTACATAGGGTTCATTAAAGCAAGTTCATTTTCTTACAGATTTTTAAGAGAAGTTATTTAACAGGAAAACGTCTAGTTCCCGATTACAAGACACTTGCTCTCGCGAGCTCTTTGACTATGTAGAAAAAAATCAACCCAGGGCATACATACAAATTTTTCTGAGCTAGTTATTGTGTAATGTTGCCACAAGCACGGATAATGGTGAACATCGTACCACTGATCTTATAACTTTTCCACACTCCCCCTATAGCTTGCCTCATCTATAAGCAACATAACTTGGGTAAATTGACAAAGGCATTAACACGTACCTGTACACGGACACTTCTTTGAGCCAGCTGTGGACCATACTTTTCAGCACTCGGAAGGCATACGTACACAACACACTGCTGTCATAACCTGAACAAAACAAAAAGTTCTCATTTCTTGCATAGTCCCCATGATTGAGGCAAAAAGCTATATCCCCCATAACTTCGTAGCTCTGTTTAAAACGTCTCTCACCTATATCTTTAGGTAGACACTCGAATAATTTATCAAGAAAAAACCAAAAACTAGCTACGGTTTTCCTAGCTACGGTAGATTGAAATAACTTAAGGCATATCAACTGGATTCGAGTTTCGAAAATGTCGCCATATATAGGAGACGACATGGCAAAACACCAGAAGCTACACAAAACGATAACAGGCAAAAGAGTTAACTTCTCCTTAAAGACACCACTCGGTAGGCAGTCTACTACCCTTTGTGGTGTTTTTGCAAGATGGGATTTTTCTTGTTTTTTATTGTAAATTAAAAGCAAAATTTCTTGAAAACGAATACATTTATATATTAGTCCGATTTCTTCCACTCACTTGCCACACTGTTCTGCTGGTCCGATCCAGACTGACCACTGCTACTCATCATGTGGTCTGCTATGTTCTGTTGGGGGAGGAGGTTGAAGCTGATAGAGTCTGCCGCCCCTCCCTCCATGTCGTTCACGTGGTGCGACTGCACTATGGTAGCTATGGGCAGACTCAATATCTCCATCTCCACACAGACACCTGAAGTTAAATATCAATTTCTAAAGATTGTTTCGAAAGAATTTAACTTTTTGCATCTCTTCTCTATTGCAACTACTTGAGAATTCCTCACGCATGGTTTTCCATCGGGATATTTGGGATAAATATCGGATTCCATGTATTTTTAGCTTTCAAAATTTTTTTCTCAACAATTGCCTTTTGAATCAATGGTTTTTCGACAAACGACGGTTTTTCTGATAACATGAGACTTTAAAGGGAGGAAGATTTAAAAATTGTATCTCACCCTTGTACAGCCCGGGGTCAATGACCTCCACACTTCGATGGGAGTCGAAACAGTTGCTGGCCAGTCTGTGGTCATCCGCCTCCTTTCCTAAACATCAAAAATCAATAATTTTTAAAAATCAGAATAGAATTGCAAATTTTTTCAATTGAATTTGAAGTCAGAACCTAGTTTCTTAGAATCAACTGAAAATAGAATCATAATTAGCTTTGCTTTTAAGCACTACTCGTAATCACTACTGTGTAAATGTGTGAAATGCTTAAATAAATTTACGAGACTCAGAATTAGCAGGGGGCAAAATGTGTGTAGATCGCTCGTGTAAACAGGCATCAAACTACCCAAACTTCCAAAAATTGTGCTTCGAACTAAAATTAAATTTTCAAGTCAACTCGGTGATATGTTACAATAGGTGGTAATTTTGAGTGTGGTGCATGTATTAAATTTGAGAACTCATATGCATAATATAGTCATTTCATTTTCAGCCAATTGTTCTAGTACTAAGATATTTTTTGCAAATTCATTACGATGCCAAATGAAATGCTATTCAAAAATCAAACTTTAAGAATTCTTTTGCCAAAAAACTGTTGCTTTTGAAATTAATTATAAATAATGTGCGAACTACGACAAAAAGCGATCCAGCTATTGAAATTGAACCTACCACCTATTGTAATTTATCACCGTCAACTCACCTCCGAAATCTGGCCTATCTGTCTTAGACAGCCACATCAGATGATTATGCTTCCTCAACTGTCTGGCGAAGAACAAATCAGCCCCGAAATTAAACACATCTTCATTTGGCATATTTCCAATCGGTATATGTAGATATCTACAATGGTCCACCAAACTGTTATATCGCAACAGGAAATTCAAGTAGTGTTTTATACTCCATCTACACGCCATTTTCTGCCATTCAAGGCCACTTAATAAATTCGGGGGATCTTCAACGGTCAAATCAATAGTCGGGAACTCATTATTCAGAACTGCGATCTTGTTGAAATATCTAAATGTGTTCGCTTGGTAACACACGATTGTCGGACCTCGTTTCTCGCTTTTGTAGTTTTGCAAAATTTTCGACAGTTGTTTGTTAACAGCATCGGCGTCTTTGCAAACCGAAGATTCAAATGAAATTCCGCCTTGCGGTACACAATCAGAAGAAACATTTTCCTTGTTCTTTTTCAAATTCCATTCGGTCGCGTACATAGAGTTCAAATTCGGGATTGCATTTGTACCAGACGGGTCAATTATCCACAGGTACGCTTTGGACATATGGGTTCCAAAAAGAGCAGTCACACCTCTACCAGAAATTACAAACTGATAAAGGAATAGTTTCTTCAGCAAATGTGTGTTGTTATCTTCTTCTAAATATGTAACATCAGCTAGGGTTTTCTCAGTTAGCTCTTGCATGTCAAAATATTCAGTATCACGACCTATTAACGTCTTAACTACGTGTTTATTAATAATGCACACGCATCCAATATTAACAAGAAATCTGAACTCCAAAGGCACTGATAGTTCATAAACACCTTCTACATTCGGAGATGTAAAGTCGACCTGTAATTCTTGAGCGTGTTCTATAAAATTCTGTTCTGGTACACAATACTGGTACAAATTATACGTCGGATGCGCTCTGGGTAAATACTTTTGGGTTCGTTTCCAAATATGACCTCTTTCTTGCTCTTTAGGTTGTTTCATGTTTATATAAAAAATTCTGGGTACTGAAATTTTCAAACAGTGCAAATCATTTCCAACAAGTGTCCAGGCTTTGAACAAACCGGGAGAGTTCGTCTTTGTCAGTTGGATAATCTGCCAATGGGTATTCATTAAGGTACTTTGAGTTTTCCGCACAAAAGTATTCAGACCTCCACTCAGCCCTTGACCTCGCTTGGAACCCGTGCCATAACCTTGAGGAACTGCAGCAATATCTTCAGTTGAAGACTTCTGACGCTTACTGGTTTTCTCGACCAACTCGCGATTCTTTCTTTGCTTGATTTGATGCGCCCACTTCTTTTTATGAAACTGTATCCAAGCTTGCAGAGCTTCCTTTGATTCTCCCATTTCGGGAGGGTTTCCAAGTAATTCGCGCCAGGGTTTCTTCAAAGCTTCCAGATTTTCAAGTTCCAGTTTTCGTTTCTTTGACACTCTAATAACCGGAACACTATTTCCTTTCCCCCCTAAGCTTTCAATATCCTTTACGCCTTTATTTGATTTAGTGTCCGTTGAATTTCCCAACGAAGGCATGAAAATCTCACTGATTCTTTTCTGTTTGTTGTAGTCAAGTTTTTCAATCAGCCGTTTCTGAAGCCAATCCGGATGCGCAACTCTTGGCACCGGGTTTGAAAGACCTTGCAAAGCTGCTGGAATTGTTATAATTTTCTGGATACAACTAGAAAATCTTTCAACGTAATACTGCCAATCTAAGATTTCTCGAATGTCGAACTCGTTTAATCCAGGAGACTTCAGCCACTTTTTCAGGTAGAAACTCCTGACTGCTGGATCCGACTGGAAAATAGCCAGAGGTACTGCGCGCTCTGTAACCGGCGCGTTTTCTGGCTTTCTTGAAATCACAAACTTACAAGCCAAACCCGCGTCTTTTACCATTTGGTCTCCTAAAAACTCTGCTAAACGTTTAGCGGTACTAATCGAAGTCGATTTTTGACCTTCATATTCAGATAGAGATTTCGACATGAATCTGTTTTCCGCAATCAGGTCGAATAATTCAGAATCAGGCATGTTAGCAGCTCTACTGTACAAAACATCAAGCCAATAATTCGCTACTTTAGCTGCGTGTTCGTAAGCTTCTTCAAGCGAAACTCCGTTAAGAAACGAGTCAAAAACTGAAGACTGGAAATTCTTAATCAGCTGCAATTCACCTCTTCTTTTGACTTCGAAGCCTTTCAACTCGGCAATGCTTCCGTCGTCATTGAAGACAACGTAACGCTTCTTTAGTTTCTTTCCTTCTTCTTTGGAAGCTGGTAAAATCATCGCCAGATACGGACCGTCAACTTCAAAGAAAATCGAGTTTTCGCTTCGGATGGTGTACTCTGGAATTTCAGGTGCTACTCGATCGTGATACTGATTATTGGTGAAGTTTTTCTGGACCAACACATTTAGCATTGCCCCTGGATATGAAATAGACACGGAGGGTTTTTTGGGGTCATTGGTCGTGAACACACAATTCTCGGGGAAACTTGCCGGAAGAATGCACCAAATACCATCTGTATCAAGTTCCAATGGTCGTCCAATTTGTTCCACTAGTTCCCTAGCTGCTTTGATGATATTGGCTCCTGTATGACAAACGATTCCTGCCATTTCCATCGAGAACCAGCGAGATCCTTTTCTCATTACGTAACCGTAAAACGAGTTCAAAATACACTTATGTGCCAATTGAAGCGAATCGTACAAAATTTCTTTGCTCTTCGCGCTTCGAATCGCTTCTATATCTCCAGAGTTCGTAGCTTCAGTCAACTTCTTTTTCCAAACCTTAGTGAGTCCTTTAAACTCGTATCTCCGATCTCTGAACGCTCGCACTGTATCGACATAAAATGAGTTCTCACGCTGACATACAGTCGAGTATTTTACTTCTTCTTTGGTGACTTTGGTTCGCTTATAGGCTTTCCGGCAGTATTCTCCCAGTCGTTTCTTTTCGGCTGCCGCTCTTTCTTCTCGAGTCAATTCATGGTAAGCTCTTGGATTCCCTCCAGGAAAAAGAGGAGGAAATTTTTCAGTTTCTAACTGGTACTGCACTTTGTAAAATTCATTTCTACTAGCAGGCATAACATCCCCACGCCAAACCCACGCCATTTTTCTTTGACACCTAGCTCCTGGTTTGTTGAAATCACAAGTAGCGCAAACTGTTTCATCAACTAAAGCCGGAGGTTGCAAGCGATTTGTCAGAATGATGTTCGGGTACATTGCTCCAACGTCCAAATGGTAAATCATAGGATTCTCCATTCGGCTGGGAAAATCCCGCAAAATTTCCAACTTTTTCTTAATTTTAGACTTTATTTCGTCGTAATTTGTGATATTTTCCAGAGGTATTTGCTCTTCCTCTACCAGAGCATGTTGAAGAGTGCTGTCCAGGGATCCAATTAGTTTCTGAAACGCCTCTGGAACCATTCTGAACTTCACTGGGATGTTGCTTCTAAACACGCCGGACTCCAAAGCCTCCACGTGGCCTCCAACGTACGTTTCATTGTCCAAAACTTGACCTCCTGGAGTCATTTTATTCAACTCTGTCAACTGTTTATTTGGAAACAAAATGTTGATTTCAAACGCTTTAACCATCAACAATGCTTCACATAAAGTCCCGGAACCTTTTCTTAAAACTTCGTCAGGTTTCATAGGAATAATTGTACTAAGAGCAAATATGAATGGATGAACGTATTTCATGTACAAATAGTAGGTTGCTACAGCGTCTGAAACCGAATAATTAGCCAGGATTTGTGGCTTCTCTCTCGCCATTTGGCACATTTCTTCTGGATCTAGCTCCACAGGATCGTAGCGCAGTTTCGCTTTCGTAACCGCTTTCAAGTTTTGACTTCCAACGGGTAAATAACTGTCCCGCTTTACCCAACACAGACAGTCCATGTGTATTGCGTTTCTGCTTTTATACTCGCCTTGGGAGTCTTTCGAGAACCCAATTTCATGATGCATGTCCAATCCATATTCTGTTGCTCGCCGCTCTATAAAAGGCCAATCGAAGAAATCTCCGTTGTAAGTCGCAAAAACATGAGGCCTTATTTCACGTACGTGATCAAAGAAATGTTGCAGTAAAGCTTGCTCGTCAACAACGTTGAATATCACGAAAGGTCCTTCAAACTCAGGTTTCGGAGTGTACTCAAAATCTTCAACATCTTCACTGACTATCTCTCTGTTTACAATTAAATATCCTTGACCGTCAACCATGTACGATATCATCATGATCTGGTCAATAGCTGAGTCAGGAAACTTCAATGGAAGCTTGGTTGTCTCGATATCAAACGCTAAAACTACCGGATCAGGCCAATCTATCAACGTTGGATGGTCTACTAATTCTGGTGATTTTCCCGCTACATGTTTCACCGTGTACCATTTACCCACGAAAATGTTCAAATCAATCGCAACTCTCACGTGGTACGGAACATCATATTCTCGTACATCCAAAATGTTCTCAGACTGTTCCATAGTTTTTTCACTGGCTGATTTATTACCCATCGCAGTTTTGACACCACTACTACCCGAAGGTCCATCGTTTTGAGCAGACAAAACGTTGCTCAACAGCGACGTGTAGGCATCTTGACTTTTTGCCTTTTCTTGATTTCGTCGGACAATAGGCATCAAAGCAGTTTTCAATTTCATCATATGGTTTGTATTAAGAAAGGACAATTTAATCAGTTTTCTTGTCAAACCCATCAAATGATTTGGCAAATCGAGATCTTCTTTAATCACTATAGCAACACTGGCCAGCACTCCTGCGTATTTCTTAGCCAGATACGCTGATACTTCAGTTTCAGTGCCTTCTTTTGTGATCAAAAAGAAATACGGCGCGTATGGCTGAGAACATTTAAGTCGGCTACCATCAGTTAAAATGAAGTAATAACTTATGGCAGATATAAGTCTTTTGTCTTCGTCAACAATTTCCGAGGCCTCAAAATTAACTAACCAACCCTCTCGTTCCACACCATCGTTAAATTGTTCGTAACCGAATTTCTCGTCAAGTGATTCATTAGTTTTGATTAAGCCAAGTCGTTTGACTGTATTCCAGTCCTCTCCGTCTTCCGTTTTAGCGGACTTTCCTGGATTTCGCTCTCGGAAATTACCCGCCATTTTTAACCAGCCAGAGTAGTTCAGAATATTTCAAAGACTTACAGAAACACCATAACCTAAAAATACATTAATAGAGTCAGTAGGAAGGAAGCAAATTCAAACTCGGGAATGTGAAATTTGCATGCATCAAAATGTACTCGTTTAGAAATATGGTCCCGCTGCGTTTGATGAGTCCCATTTAAAAGCTCGTTTAAAAGTGTGGTCCCACCAGACCACTGTAAATAATCTTGAAGTACTTCAAGCGCATGATAAAAAAAGGAAAACTACTAAGCATGACTTCTTTAGAACTGTCAAAACATCCAGCACGAGACAAGTTGAATGAGATTCATTTCCTTACGGATATTGATATTTTTTGTGTGCACTGAAGTCAAATAGAACACCTGGACATAAATTTTCCGAGATTGAGGCAGCTGCAAAAAGACATGCTAAGCAGGTGAACAGACATCCTCGAACAGACATCCTGAATTAGTACCACTTACATTGTATCAACATACAATGTTTTTTGAGGTTCAGAGTGCCTGAGAATGGGGTGTTTTCGAACCAAGCGGTACACAGTTTTCATACAAAACTTCTAAGAACGAAGATTAACTAGGCAAGGACAGCTGAGAAAAACGTTGAAGTCAAACTTGAAAAAGCGAGAGGCGCAGTACAGAGGGGTGTAGATGAGAAGTTTTGGCCTTCGGTAATGAAATACTTAAGTCTCAGGGGACAAAGAAAAACAACAACAGTTTAAGAGACCCACCAAAAGAAGCTAATAAAACTATCAGAAAGGCAAGATCGACCTCTAGGGAAGCAAGGTGAGGGTTTCGGTAAAAGCTCTTGATAATGTTGAATTGAATTACCAGAGTAGGTACAACAAGTAATGGCATTAGGGCCGAAACATCCAGTCAGGGATAAACTTAATGAGACACACTTTCTCGCCGATATTGACATCTTTCTATCGGATCTCAAAAATCGTAAAGTCCCTTGGGAGGCTCTTTGTGAGATCGAAGCTGAGGGAAAAGCCTTAACTAAAAGGGGAAATAAACACCATCCGACAACGGAGTTGAGAAGGCTCGAAGGTACCTGAAGAATAATGGATTCGTTGCGGTACCGTATGACAGGGGCGTGGGTTTTTGTGAAATGAGTAAGAATACCTACGAGAACAAGTTATTTGATTTATAAGGTTCAAATCAATTTAGCAAAAGTAAAGGAACAAGTGATGGGATTGATATGAAAATAGGAAGAGAAAACAATAAGGAGTTGTTGGCTATGAGGATAAAAGACGAAATAAGTGAGAATCTCTACACAAGGATGAGGTCTACTGGCGGGCAGCCCGCCAGGCTTTATTGGTTCGCGAAGGTGCATAAGGAGAATATCCCACTAAGACCGGTCCTCTCATTGCCCGGTAGCTCTTATTATAACTTAAACAAGGTTCTTGCAAAATTTTTTGGGAAAATTGAGGGCGCAAACATCAAAACCATTCGCTAGATACGAAAGAAATCTTAGAGAGCATTACTCTTGAGCCCAATGAATTTTGATATCTCCAGATGTGACGAGTTTGTATACAAGTGTTCCACTCAAAGAAGCAATAGAAATGGTTCTGACAAAACTGTATGAGCAAGATGAACCACCATCAATTATTAGGAAAACCATGAAGAGACTGTCGAACATGACAATTAGGCAAGTCCATTTCAAGTGCAATGAAACATGGTACGTTCAGAAAGATGGCTTGGAATCTCTTGCCGTTATGTTAGCAAATCTTTGGCTGAAGCGGCATGAAATTGTACTATCGAGGGATATTACCGAAATGTTTTTGCCCGAAAAAGATCTAAGCGGAACTTGTCCCGAAAGTGAGAAGGTCACGTACAGGTCAAAAGGCGTGAAAAGTGAATGCTGTTTGAATTGGTATCACGTAGAATGCGGTGATACATCAGATGTTGAGTATCGAACTGGTACTGTAGAAAATGCATCGCGATAAGGGAGAAAAATAAGTCAGTCCAGCAAGCTACGTTAATTCTCCGTTAGGTTGACGATATAGTGAGAACAGTGAAGGATGCTACGGGAAAAGGTGCTACGGGAAAAGGATGCAAACTTACTACATCCAAATTTACAGTTCACAATAGGGAAACCAAACACAAAAGAGAAATTGGCATTTTTGGATTTACAAACTAGTATTGACAAAAAGAAAATTAACTGTGGGTGCTATCAGAAACCAACAGATACAGTTACCATACTAAATTTTAGAAGTTGCGCCCCCATTCAGTAAAAGAGAAGTAAAATTGAAGGAACTGCTCACCGGGTTTTCCGCAGTACGTCAACATGTGAAGAATATGGTAAAGCGATGAAAATCAACCGTAAACAGTGATTGGATAACCAATATCCGGAAAGTTGGTCGTCTCAAGTCTTGCGGGTTGCGTCTCAAGTCTTTGAAAAGATCATCAGGAAGGGCAAAAACAAAAAGACATGGCTGAGAAAAAGAAGCCTTGTGATTATAACAGTGATTCACCGCCCATCTTGATGGTTCAATATAGGGGGAATCACACTCAGACATTAGCAAAAAAGTGCGCGATATCACCAATGAGCAGATAATATTCACGACGAGGAAACTGAAAACTTGTATGCCCACTTTCAAATCATCCCTTTCCACTGAACTAAAATCAAAGTGGCGTACAGACTTGAATGTTGTGGGTGCAAATCCATTTATGTTGGCCAGACGGTCCGACATCTTACCACAAGGATTGATGAACACCGAAAAGTGGATACCCCAGTTGGACAGCATATAAGGCAGTGTGGTAGTGAGAGTGGTAAGTCGGAGCTTAATTGGAAGGTAATTGACCAGGCGTCCAGCAACATGAAGTTAATTACATTAGAGGCGCTGCACAATAGGATAGAGAGACCGGCAATTAACACGCGAGACGAGTTTAGAAGAAGGGAGCAGACACTAAGGCAATAGTTCCATAATCAAAAAATTCTGGCTAAAACAAAAAATATTGAATTAAATTACATGTTACATTAAATTAGCGACAAAAAGAAATTGTAAAAACAAAAAAGGTGAAAACTCTCAGAAACATGTGACTAAATGAATAAAGTTGTTACATAATAGTTGGTACAAAATTTCAGTTATTTTTGTGAAGTTGTGATTGGTTGAGTTTTTTAAAATTTGAAATAACGATGTGTATGACATTTTTTATGGTTTTAGTTTAGATTTTTAAAACCTGAAGATGCACAAAAATGTGCGAAAACATTTGTTTGAATTTACAATTTTAACGCATTCTCAAAAAGTATCAACATATCAAATCTGAATACGCGAACAATGTTGAAACAGTCTGGTATTGCAGGACATGCTTGAAATAACAGGATCTGTCAATGATGGGTCCGAAAGAATGATAGTTCCGAGACAGGTGTTGAACGTTTTTTTAGTTACGTGGATAACATAGTATGGAGGGAGGGGGTGATCTTGGGGTTGTCCACGAGGCTGCTGAAAAGTTTGCAATTTACTAGACTTGCAACATTTTACTATTGAAGAATTAGATGAGAACAGTAATTCAATCTTCCTGGATACAAATGTGAACGTCGGCTCACAAAATGTGCGTCGGCTCAACTCAGTGATACTGGCACCATTCTTAGTTTTAGAAGCTGCGCCCTTTGCAGTACATAAGAAACTTCATTGAAGGGACTATCCACTGGGTTTTCAGAAGTAACTCAACATGCGAAATATTTCGACAACGGGTTGAGAAAAAAACAGGAAACCTTGGATTAAAAATCAACCTCCAAAAAATGGTCGGATAGGTTTGTATCCGAAACTGTGAACAACGTTGTTGAAGTTAAGAAAATGTCCGCTTTTCCGGAAACAAAAGAGGAATTGAGAATTTTTGAAACTTCAATAGCAGAAAAATAAAAACATGCCTGCAATCCCTCAAAGTTTTCTTTGCACGTAATCTGAAACTCAAAGTGGTATATAAACTTACTTGTAGTGGAATTAATTCCATCTATGTCGGCCGAACAGCCTGACATAGATGGAATTAATTCCATCTATGTCGGCCGAACAGCCTGACATTTAGCCACGAAGAAAGATGAACATCTCAAAAAAGACTCCCCTACTACTGTCCCCAATCCCGAACGGGTTAACTAGGTGGCAACTATGCTGTATTATATTATGTTACTTGACTTCTTTTGTACTGCTCTTACGGCTGTCTTGTCTGCTCGATACGACCGCGAGAATTTGCTGGTGTGATTGAACTCAGAAAACATAAGTCAATTAGCTTAAAAGTCTTAGTGGCCAGAAAGAAATCTAACAATCTAGTCAAACAGAAAGGGTCCGCGATCAGTCAACACACTGCTTTAAGGCAATTTGTCTTCAAAATAACCCAAACAAACAATTCTTTCTCTGTAAAATCTTAGCTAACCAATTACACGCATTAATTTCATGCAAGTAATCAGTTCGACCTGCTAAAAGTAATGTTGTATCTATGAACCACTAAGTTTTAAAGGGATTCTAATGGATCTCTCTATCTTCAGGATTCACTGTTCTCAACTCTGATCAGAAACAACTACCACTATCTACTAGCTTCGTAATCCTTGTTTTGTCCTGTTAGGTGGGCTATTTGCTAATCTCTATAAAAGTTTCCTTTTTGAGTTTTAGCTAGAGTTAGAGTTTTGGTCATCCCTACAAGCCCTGACATTTACTTGGTACCTTTTTTGCAGTGTTTTAACTGAATTCCTTCTCTGACGACACTTTTACTTAAATGCAATTTCATAGTAGATACCTCTGAGTTGTGCTGCCTACATGTAGTCCAATTTCACCAGTAAGCAAGCTATGTTTAATTAAACAATCTCCCAAGTTTTTTATCTAATTAAGCCGTGTATTAAGAATCCGTCCCCCTAGGGGTAGGAAAAGAGCTTTTGTATTGGTCGCTAAATCATTCGAAGCATTTAGAATTCTAATCCATACAATAATCCAATCCCAACCTTCTAAATATTAGGGAACGTAAGTTGCTCATTAGGGGTCAAATTATGCCCAAAAGTAACCTCCAGGGAGCTAACTAAGTATTCCGTCCATTTGAGTTAATTAGGAGATCTACGTCCCTTGCCACGTTCCCATTACTGCCAACTTCCTCTGGGACTACTTTTTTTTTTCTCTGATTGAGTTATTAATAATAGCTTATTCGCCAAGTAAAGCTGAACCACATGTTTGCCAAGTCCATTTCAATTAGTTTCACTACTTCAATGTTACAATTTGAAAGCTTTTTCGCTTTCAGTTTCTGCTTCAGTTCCCAAGAGATAAGTTTCCTCCCAAGTATAAGCTGGGTGATCGATACTTATTTCCATGGAGTCGGGGCTGGGGAAATGCGGCATTTACTTGTGTTAACGCCGGGTTCTTCTATGCATTTTTGATGCTAACTTTCTAAAAGTGATTAAAAAGTCACCCGAAGTCATCCGGGGTCAATCTTTCATCTTCGCTCAATATTTTGCGTAAATTGCCTATTTCCGCAGAAGGACTCTTTCAGTTGCAACCGTCGGATTTGATTCAAAATATGGCAGACGACGTATCTTGCCATTATCAATCATACCCCAACACTTTGGCTCCCTGAGTGCAGCGGGGACCAAGAAACCACTCTCAGAAATCCGTAAGGGGGATTTCTATTTGGGGCATTTGTCAGCACAGTTTATCTGGAAGTTGTTATCTCCTGGTCTTCTAAGGTTGCTTGTGTTTCTTAATCGAGCCATAAGGATAGTGCTATCTAAAACGATTTTGCCAATTAGTCGAAATTACAGTAGAAGCACCAATTCTACGTTTGATAATGAGTGTAAAATAACAAGTATCTGATTATAGAAGTCCGTTGCGGGTTGATTTTGTGAAAAGATCTCTTCCAATGCACTACGAGGAAACTGCTCTGAATTACAAATTTAACCAAAACAAACTGTTTTCAAAATCTTTTTTAATTTTTCGGAGATAAAAAATGTTAACCAAATGATTACACAATGTTTTTAAAACATCGAATGAGTAGAAAATATAGCATTTGTTTTGACGTATCCCCGTTTTCGCTATTAACTTTGACAACTTTGAGTCTTTTTTTCGTTGGAATAATGAGCCAACCAATTTTCTTAGTTATTCTAGAGATCCGTTATCTTTTAATCGATGACGAAACCATTGAATATTTTCTCAACTAAAACCATATGGTCAAAATTAAAACTAGAACTAGAGCCTTCTGCTCTTGGGGGTCAAATTGTCTGACACTGTTCATCCAAAATGAAAACATATGGAAAACTAATTACCCACTTTGTAAATCACAGATAAAATCTGTTTCATGAAAAATCTCATTGTACTTTATGAATACCCATTTTAAATATTTTTGACATAACTCAAAGTTTTCATAAAACGCAGACTGAAACTGTTTCGAAATGGGAAAAGTTTTTCGCTTTTCCCTTTATTTTTGGCTCTTTTTCAGTTGCCAAGTTAGACTTGTAAGCTCTGCTTCAACAATTGAGAAGTCACAAAATGCTCTTTGGAACCGAGAGTTTTCAACCGAATCTCCCGAAAATGAAAAAATTGTCGACGACAGTTCGGATTCCGAAAAGAATTCTCGACGAGTCGCTACTAAAGTCAATGCCCATATAGACCCTAAGTTCTTTCAGCAAATCGGGCAACTTTTATCCGGAAACGACGAACCGGCAGAAACAACAACGGCGATGACGGCGACGGCCGAACCAAAGAGGAAACCGATTGATCGTTTAGGTTTGATCCTAGAGAAATTCATAACTGCACTGAGGAACTATCAAAAAAGTAGAGCTGACCACGTTGAAACTGAAACTGAAGATGATACGTTTGATTTTCAGGCCGATGTGAATATTGACAGTCGGGGCGCATCTTCAGAAAAACCGGAAGATTGTTCCAAAGATCTAATTAACGAACTTAAAAGATTAATCAAAAAATACGACCCGGAGCCAAAAACGACAACCGTTGCTCCTGTACCTCAAATTGACTACTCGGAGTTGATGAGAGTTTTTAAAATTGCTTTGCGAAAATATAAAGAGCAACAGGCGGCAAAAACAGTTGCGACGACAACAACAACAGAAGCGCCAAAAAATGAAGAAACAGGCGATGAAGATACAGATGAGTTAATAAAGAAATTGATTTCCGCGCTTCAAAAACACAGAAGTAACGAAAATTTTGTGCATAAACCCAAGCATCAAACCAAGCATAGACCTATGCCCGAATCTTTCCAGTTGCCTAAAATGCTAGATAAATCTTTTGCTTTTAAGGGTGTTGTTGAGCCTGCGCCAAAACCTAAACCAACAATTGACCATAAAATGACGACAGTTCCGAAGCCTCATATGAACATGTTTGGCAAAAAGCCGGGTACTTTTCGTTTTTCGGGTAAATTCCAACATACGCCCGGAAGCCAACATTCCCAAGTGAAACCGCATCACTCAAACAAAATGAATTTAGGCCGAATTTTCCGACAACTTAGAGAAATGATTTTGAACTTAAACAGCACTTTGAAAACCACTTTAGTGCCAGACACTAAATCAACTGTCGGTTTAATAAATACTAACCTAGTTAACCTAGTCAGAAATCTAAATGAAACTCTAGGTTTCCATAGTTCGATTCAAAAAACAGACCCTGATTTCAAACCATTGATGAAACCACTAGGATTTTTGGTCCGCGAATTGAAGGGAATATTCGGAAATTATCATTTGAAGCCACATCATAGACCATCTGGCTATAGACCGAGACCAAAAATGCCCAAAAAAGACCCGAGTTATTCTGAATTATATCATTTAATGATTCAATTGAACGCTACAATTTTAAATAATGAACTCGAAAAACCAAAAAAACCTCAAATGGAGTATTCGGAGATTTTTCAAATGATTCGAAGCTTGAACGATACTTTGCAAAAATACATTTCGCACTCTCAGAATAGCTCAGAAAACAAAGAAAGCAAAACGTTTTCATCTTTTGACAAAATGGTTGATATGTTAATTAAAACTCTGGTAAACTATAACTTAGACGAAGAAAAAACAGATCATTCTAAAATTGAAAGTCTAATTAAGGAACTCAAAGATCTGTTCTGCAATGTTTCCCTCGATGGAGACGAAAACGCTGAAGAAAACACTGATTTGGAAGGTAATTTTGATTTCGAGTCCGAATTTTCGGCGCTCCTCGAAGAAATCAAGGCTGCTCTTCTCAAGTATCAATTAGAATCGGAAGAAGATTTTAAAGAAACTCTGAAAAAACATCTTGGAGGCAAACCCGAAACAAGCAAAGAGCAACAGGCAATGATGAATGGTCTTAAGGGGATAGTCGAAGCTGTTGTTACTGGATCCAATAAAGTAGGGAAATCGGGAAAACTGGAAATTTCGAACGTCAAAGCGTCTTCATCTGCTTCGCATAAATGGGAAAAGCCAGGACACTCTAAAGGTCACGCTGAATCAAATGCTTCAAGTGAATGGAACAGTCACGGAAGCTCTTCGAACGAGCATGCTGAATCAAAATCACACTTCGGAGCATCAAAAGCTTCTGCAGAATCAAGCTCAACTATGCACCATGGACTAGAATCCAAGGCCTCGGCAGACTCAAGTTTGGAGTCACATCACGGATCCCATCATGCATCAGCATCATCAGAAGCCAGCTCCAAGACTCATCACACAGGAGGACAATTCAAGGCCTCCGCAGACTCAAGTTTGGAGGCACATCACGGATCCCATCATGCAACAGCATCATCGAAAGCCAGCTCAAAAAGTCATCATTTTGGAGGGGATTCGAAAGCATCTGCATCATCTCAAGCTGAACTGAAGAAACTTGTCGAACTCTGGGATAGCTCGAAGCAAGAAATTGGAAGTCACAAAACTCCTAAGCTCAAAAGGGGGTTCAGAGAAATTTTCCACGCCGAGCTCAAAAACTCATGGCGGAGAGTCCAAAGCGTCGCCTGATTCAAATTCGGAATCGCACCATGGTTCCCATCAAGCGTCGGCATCATCTGAAGCAAGCTCCAAAACCAAGCATGGATCATCCAAGTCTAAATCATCATCGGAAACAAGTTCCAAATCTCATCATGGAATGTGGGAGCACCATGCCGAAACCAAGTCTAGTTCCGAAACAAGCGGAAAATATGGAGAGTCAAAATCCAGTGCCGAATCTAAAGTGGACATTGAATCAAAAGCACACCATGGCTCCGAAGTCCAAGCTGACTCAAAAACAGATGCTGAGTTGAGCGGAAAACATGGCGGCTCTAAAGCATCGGCTGATGCGAGCGCAAGTTCAAGCTTAACAGGAAGTGAGTCGAAGGCATCTTCAGACGCAAGTTCAAGTTCCCACAGTAGCGGAAGTGACTCAAAAGCAAGCGCTGAATCTAGCGCTGAAACTCTTTCAGGCAGCGGAGGAGTTTCGAGTGCAAAATCAAGTGCAAAAGCCAGTTCTAGTGTTAGCAATGGAAAAAGTTTGAGTCAAAATCTGCAGGCCATTGCAAATGCGAAGATCATACCACCAGCAATTGGGGAAGAAGAGGAAAAGGAAAAGAGAGGCTACTCGAAAAGTCATTAAAGCCTGCGGAGATTGGGAAGCGATAAAACCATTCAAAAAACTTACTTAATGAAAAAATATCTATGCTAAATTTCCACTGTATGAATTGGTCAAGATCTTTTTTGTGGTTACGGCAAATATTGAAAATTCACAAAAACTTATTTTATGAGCACGCCTAAGTTAAATTGTGTTTGAGTTTTTCCACCTAAGAGCATATTTGACAACTAACGAAAAGGGTGCTGCCAAAAAAGAAACCGAAAAGCAATTTTATCCACCTTTATTGTTTAACTACTTATACTATTTCGAAGGTTCTTTCTCCTCTGACCCTCCAGAAACGTACATATGTTAGCATTGCTTGCTACTGTAAATACAGAACATAGTTTTCCAATCACTGGATTTTTTTAAAGTAAAACCAAAACTTTGACCAAAATGAGCCAGTTGGTTGACAAGTTGAGTTTAAGTCCGGGTGGCTTTCTAATAGAGTAATTTGGAATAAGTTACACTAGTCTGTTCGGTACACCATCTTATTTTCGGTCGGATAAATTCGTGCAACTTCTTAGTCTAATACCGATCCTATTCTTACTTTTATATTTCCTAGTCTCGATAGATCTAGTATATACTGGTAATCCTGAGAGGTTAGCGGAGAGGAAGAGCAACTGCTTTTGAAGTTATTTTTTTTTCTCTGGCTGATACTATAAATAGTTTCAGCTCTACAAATTACTGTAAGTCTTAGTCATGGATCATGGTTGGTTGTTTCTAAGTATTTTGGATTTGTAAAATACTAGTTTTGAACTGATTCAAAGTAGCAGAGAATGCTCCGACTACAATGATTTAAGAAAAAATCAAAGACACAAAAAGAAGATCGTGTTTTTTCTAAATTTACTGCAAGCTTTTTGCAAAGATTAACTGTAATAGATGAAAAACTGGAAGAAGCAGTGACAATAGACAGTGTGCAAAAATAAGGTGATACTTGAAGAAGTAAAACAATATTGAAATTGTAATGAGGTCAATTTGTCATCAAACTTCGTTAAGTTGGTCTGAACTCAGAAAATATCGAGTATTTTACACTAGGACAATTTTTTGAAAAATAGGACAACATTTCCATTATTATGATGTAACCCCCGATGCCCGAGAACTTTGCCTGCTAATAGTCAAATTGCGTGCGTCGGAACAAAAGACAGCATAAGAAATCATTTGTGGGTGATTGAAACAGCATGAAAAGCCGGTTGTTGGAGAACTGATTATTCTGACCACAGTTCTACTTGCAAACGAAATAAAACTGATTTTTTTTGTTAAAAATTTGACACCTGTTTCAATTTTAGTCTGAAAGTCACAAAAAGTGAACCAATTTTTTACGAAAATGAGAAAATGTATGTTAAGTATTTAAGTTTTGATCAACTGACAGTTGGAATTATGTTGATAATATATTATTCAATCGAATCTGAGGTTAAAACGTGTTTTCTGAAATCGAGTGAAAAAAGGAACTAATAAAGACATTTTCATTTTCAGTTATTGGAACAAAAGTTGAATTTGGAAAAAACTTAAACAAAAATACGGATAGATCGGAGAAAAAATTTTTTGACTTCTACAAACGCAGGACTCAAAAATACTATCACCGTTTTTACCTTTTTTGTGTTTTAATTTTTTTTCCAAATTCAGCTTTTGCTTGATTCAATAATTACTGAATCGTTGCATTGATCCAATATATTGCTACCAAAACAGTTTTAAAGTTTCTGCCATAAAATAAGGAAAAATGTGGTCAAAAAAGATATTTAAAAAACAAGGATAGCCGGTTACTGTGCAAGTATCACAGAATGTTTCCGACTATGGTCTTTAAAAAACTCTGGTTCAGAAAGGTTTTTTTTTCCAAATTAGTTTAGTTTTTACTGCTTGTTCTGCTTGGTGTGACAAAAGGATCTGACGTTAAAAAAAATTCAGGCTTGATAGACAGTCAAAGTATTAAAGGCAAATTGTTAGATCCCAAAATAAAGCTCAAATTTTCCAAAATAAGGTCTTAAACTACTCAAAAATCTTATCTCCGTTTTATCATTTTCTGTGTTTAGATGTTTTTTCTTTCAAATTCAGGTTTTGCTTGATTCAATAATTGCTGAATCAGTGCATTGATTCAGTAAATTGCTACCACAATATTTTTTAAGTTTCTGCCGTAAAAAAAAAGAAGAAAATTTGGTCAAAAAATACAGAAAAAAGTATCTGAATCAATTACTGATTTTCTGAGCAATTTTTATTTCAAAGAACAATGCAAGAAGCTTAGGAAGCTTTCATATGACTCTGTATTTGATCCCCAGGGAATTTTTTTCTTTAGATTCATCAATTTGCTAATCCATTACGGAAAATTTTCTTTGCTTTTTGAATTTGCATGCTTTTCCAAATTTGGCAAGCTTCGAAGGTGGTTTCAAGTAAAGCGGGCATAGAGCAATCACTTATTTGAGAAAAACTATGACTAGAAAATGTGGTCAAACAGCTATGTTACTTAGTGAAAAACGAGAAAGCATTTGAACACTATCTGAATGAAAAGTCCTAGGTGCGTTTTTTTCTGCCATTAATTGTTCGCAAACTCAAAACAGATAACAATTTAACCACATAGAAAGCTGCAAAAATTGCAACAGAGAGAAATAATTAAAAAGAGCAATCTGGTTTTGCTTGACTAATTTTTGCAATTAGATTTGAATTTTTAGTGACCTTGAGAAAATTAACTGTGGCCTTTAAAAGTAGCTGAAATCGCTCATTTGCTCTTTTGAAATAGTTTTGTTTGTTCTCAAATTCACAATTTCTATAGCTATCGTAGTCATGGCTGATGTGAGTATAAACTGCATGCATGTTAGCAGTTTTTGAAAGTCTCAATTTACCTGAACATTAAGTTGTTTTTCATATTTGCTGAAAGTTGGACATGGTTCCTGGTCTTGATGTATTCGGTTAAATGTAGGTTTGTTGGATTAAAAGTTTGGATAATAGTTCGAATTGTTTCAAGATGAAAAAAAGGAGTATTAAAACGACGGTGGTATGATGAAAATAACTGTTGACATTGAATTTGAAAAATGAGGTAAAATCTGCAAGACCTTAAAAAATAAAATAACCGGAGTTGTGAAAACCAAATATAACTGTGGGCAGTTAAAATCAACATCTTACAGCATTGAGCTCTGCGGGCAACTAACACCAACAAAATTAGCAGAAAATTCCGAAAAAAGATCAAGGCCGGTAGTTTCTAGGGGTGTTTTTGAAACACAATTGTTTTATGGATTTTTTTCATTCCACAATTATTTGAGCAGTTTAGGCTATTCCTTTTGCAGTAGACAGCACAAAATTGCCATGTTTCAATAAAAACAATTGTTTTTTTAATGAGGCATGGTTTCGCGGCTTGATTGGTTTTTCACTTCGTTTTGTGCTGAACAAGCTACTATGCTGTTAAATTAAAATGACTGGATAAAATGAGCTAACACAAAGTTTTCAAATTTGTTTGTGTCAATTCTGGTTGAATTTAGGTAAAAAATGGGGTGATTAAATATGTTAGATTTTAATTTTTGAGGATTTTATTTTTTGAGCATTTTTGAGGCGCAAATTAATTTGAAAAGCTTTGAATCCAAACTACACCCTCAAAATGGGTCATACCAGTTGCTTTGACTTTAATAAGGTGAACAGGGTAAATTGCCATTTCCCGTGCTCATTGTCCCAACTTGGCTAAATTGGTAATCTATAAAATGCCATAAATTTAAAAAAAAAGTATTCCCATGTGAAATTTTGGGCTCAGGATATAAAAAATTCAATCAAAAGCGTCTAGTTATTGAATAAATTCGTCTTCCAGTTGGTTGGGGGGGATTTCACTTGGTCGATCTGGGGGAGCGGATCTACACATGGGCCTATATCAGCTCTATAGTTGCTTGTTCGACACAAAAACAAAATATACGAGAAAAAAAACCAATCAATTTTAATGAAAATTATCAACAGTGTTTGACAAACTTTTGCTGTTTATTGCAGAACGATGGCTTCATTAGCCTGAATGTTAATAATACGAGAAAAGATTCTTAAAAAACGTGTTTGTAAAACACCCTGCATGCTATTCACTCAATAAAAAATTTCCTTATTTAATTTTTTGCTTGGGGTCACAATTATTTTTCTACAAGTTTTTTTTAATACTTACTGACATGTAAAGAAAAATAGATTTGAAACAATTACTGTTAGCAAACCTCGTATCTAACGTCATCATCCCCACATGAGGAGCTTAACGGCTCTTTGTTTTCAGATGTGCCTTCCCACAGTGACAGAAATGAAGAAAAATTTATTGTCTATAAAAATATACAATTTCAGATCTGTTGTAATGTTATAGAATAAAATTTCGATTATTTAATTTTAATAATCATTTAAAATGCAGTTTGTTTGTTAATAAGTTTTATAATGTGTAACTTCATTATACAATCACTACCAATTCACTCTAAAACCGTTTTTTCTGTATCAAATTTCATGCATACCAGATACAGATCGTACAGAGGTTATGTAAAGATCATCTACAGAGTATCTACAGTTAGCCTACAGATTCTATACAGATTATACACTGAAAATTATATACAGATTGTGTACAGATTTTTTACAGACTATATACATATTATATACAGATTATATACTGATTTTCTCAACAAACTCGCCCATCAGATAGTATGTGTAAATTGAAATAAAATTATGATGTAAGTTTTTCATTGAAATGTTTGTACAGAAATTTGAAAAAAAAAATTAGAAAATTTAGATAAAAAATTCAAAATCAGTATTGTGGAATTAAGTTGCAGCAAAATCTTACTGCTCTTTGTCAATTTTGTAATTTTTTTTTTGATATTTTCTCACAAATTGGGCTAAAAACGTTGATCTTACAAATGGCATTTGAAGAAGTTTTGCACAAAATTACTTTGCTTACCGCAGGAACCCTTAGGTTTCAAAATTTCAGAGGGTTCTCTCGAAAATTGTAGTATTGAGATAAATTGAGGAAAATGTTTCCTGATTACAAGTTTTTATTG